TCACGTCTGTAATCCTAGCACTTTGGAAGGCCAAAGCAAGAGGCTTGTTTGACTTCAGGAGTTTGAGATCAGCCTGGGCAACATAGCGAGACCGCCCCCCCTACAAAAAATTTTTAAAATTAGCTGGGCATCATGGTGTGCCTGTAGTCCTAGCTACTCCGGAGGCTGAGGTGGGAGGATCGCTTGGTTACAGGAAACCAAGGCCGCAGTGCCACTGCACTCCAGACTGGGTGACAGAGCAAGACCCTGTCTCAAATTTTAAAAAAAGAAAAAGAAAAAACAAAACAAAACAACAACAACAACAAAAAAAGTGTTTTTAATCATAAAACTAAAGACAAAAAAATAAAAATACACAAACACTGTGCTGTAGTTGGTAAATTTGTTCCTGGCAAGGGTATGAATTAGCTGTTCTGAAACCACTATTTGTATGTTAGAGTTTAAAAAATAAGTAAAAAATATATTTATAGATATTCATAGCCATGTTAGAAAAAGGGGTTACAAATAAAGAAAAGAAAGAGACTAGAATGAACCCCACGTTGCTGGATTGAAGCTGGAGGTGTAAAATGTACCCATGCTTGTGTTTAACACACAGGTTGAGCAGCCCTCATCTGAAAATCCAAAATGCTCCCAAATCCAAAACTTACTGAGCACCAATATGACACCACAAGTCAATGTACACAGACTTTGTTTCATGCACAAAATTATTTAAAATATTGCATAAAGTTACCTTCAGGCTACATGTATGTATAAGGTATATATAAAACATAAATAAATTTCATGATTGAACTTGGGTCTCATCCCCAAGATATCTCATTGCGTATATACAAATAATTTGAAATCCAAGAAATCCAAAATCCAACATACTTATGGTCCCAAGCATTTCAGATAAGGGATTCAACCTGTGTATGTAGACAGATAATTACAAAATAAATATAGATGTGTTTATGCATGAATTAGTATACATACATATATTTCCTAGATCCAACTTCTGTGGGGGCAAGAAGCAGTGACACCCATTATGAATGAGCACCCCTAGTACCCAAATCTTGGTTTCTAAATATTATTCTCTAATACAAAGAGGAGCTAGAGCTCTGCAGAGAAATAATGGACTCCAGGGCCTGGATGGAGAAAATACAAAATGAGCATGAAGCATCTTGTAATAGCAGCGTGCAAGAAAGTATTTTAAAAAGGGATGGAGGCCAGGCATGGTGGCTCACACCTGTAAGCCCAGCTCTTTGGGAGGCCAAGGCAGGCGGATCATGAGGTCAAGAGATC